ATGATAAATATGGTATATAGTATAATGCAAGGTTTCAATTTAGGCTTACTATGCACTAGTCAGTCATATCAATAATAAACAACTACACAATGGTTTGGGTGAAATATCAACACATGGCATGCTTTGTAGAATCTTATACATATACAATATATATTAATGACTTTGTTGTAATTGCCTGATGACTGATAGGTATGTTACACAATGTCATTAACAGTTTATGACCTGATGGAACTGTGACCTTGGGTAATGCTACAATTTCTCTACACAGTACTGCAGTCCCTGTGGAAACATATGGTCCAGTCTCTTTACAATAAGATGATGATCCTAGCCAGTAGACCTGCTGGGAACATGGACCATCACAAACACTTGAATTGCTGCCAACCTTTGGTCAGTAATGAGCTGTCTGTGTAAGGTCATTTCTCTCAAACAGACAGACACTTGATGTCAAACAAATCTGTTTGTTTTCTAAAAAGCTTTCTACAGGGCTAGAAATATCTTCTTGATGGGGTAATTCCTTCAGGAATATAAATATCTTCTTGGTTGGGTAATTCCTTCAGGAATATAAATATCTTCTTGGTTGGGTAATTCCTTCAGGAATATAAATATCTTCTTGGTGGGGTAATTCCTTCAGTATTATAGATATCTTCTTGGTGGGGTAATTCCTTCAGGACTAAAAATGTTTGTTCTCAGTGAAGTATTGCTTTCAGGGCTATAATCTCAAAGTGCAGTCACTTAGAGCTGATGTTGAGGTGCAGTGAGTTAGTGAAATAGTGTAGTGAGTAAACATTAAGAGACAATGAGTTGATCTTAAGGATTAGTGAGTGAATATTTAGTTGTAGTGAGTTAATGTTAAGGGGCAGTGTTTTAATGTTAAGGTGCAGAGAGTTAATGTTGAGGTGTTTTGAGTTAATATTAAGGTGTTGTGAGTTATTATTAAGGTGTTGTGAGTTAATATTAAGCTATATTGGGTTAATGTTAAGGTGCAGTGAGTTAATATTAAGATGTTGTGAGTTACTGTTAAGGTGCAGTGAGTTAATGTTAAGGTGTTGTGAGCTAATATTAAGGTGCAGTGAGTTAATGTTAAGGTGTTGTGAGCTAATCTAGGTTGTTTTCATTTAGGTGAAATGCAAGCTTCTGGTAAAGAAGACAAGTGAGCATGTCATCAACACAACCTCATTGTGAACAAGTATATGCTTAGTGTCAGTTTATATGGAGTCCTATTAAAGGTTATTACGGATGAGAGTGTACAGCATTATATACACAGCTGTTTTTATCAAACTTGATATACAGAAGTCACAGACACTCAGAATCTACAGGCCCTGGGTTTTAGGATGTTCTGATTCAGACTTGGTGGTTATGATAGGGAACAAAATGTCAAGCAGCAGTAAAAACATATCAGCTGTTGTAAGTTTGTGGTGGTGGAAAACACACAGGAACTAATTCTGCCACAGAAGGCGGATACAGGTTTTGTTTTTTATTCTTCATCTCCTCGTTACTTGGGAAAAAACTGAATGAAAATGGTTGATCTCCTAGCCACCAGATGGCTTGGCTTTTCTCTCTAGTGACCTCCTATCAGATATACTGATAATTTTGCAGTTGCAGCGTTTTATTTCCAAGATATTTGTGATTATTTTGCAATTTCAAACAATTAATTGGTGAACAATCTGATGATTTTCTAGTGTCTCAATTTTTTTGTCTATTATTAATGACCCACATTATTGGTTAACAGGAGATCTATGGCTGCTGTAGACTCCCATATAGCCAGTGGCAAACGAGAGGAGATTAAAACAAAACATAAAATGTCGAGATGGTCATTAACTTTAGAGGTGGTGAACTGCTAGAGGGTTTCGTGTGATAGGTTTCCATGTATGGCCACAGCGAGACTTGGCGCCAGTACATCTTATCATAGTTTCTTGATAACTTCATGCATAATTACGCAAGATTGTCAGAAAAGTATTGATGCATATTGGTGTAAAACATATCTGTTCATTAATTGGTGCCTGGTTGCTTCTTTGCAAGTACTGGTTTCAATAACAGCCTGACTTCCTGGGAATTATGGGGGCGATGTGATAATCTTGCGAAAAACATTCATTTGCTAGTGTATAAACAACTTATAGGCTTGTTAAAAGGTCCCCTATAATTAATAGACAGGTTTAATAAGTTTTCTCTGACAAATAATAGGTAAACTTAATGGTTCTAATTAGGGCCCCGCATCGCGATGCGGGTGCCCTATAGTAATCACCTTGTCCGTCTGTCTGTCCGTCTGTCTGTCTGTCCGTTTCGCTTTCCACACGATATCTTGAGAAGGAATGATGAGATTTCGATGAAACTTGCTTATGATACTTGGTACATAAGTCCCTCGCTCAAGTTTGATGTTCGCCAAATTCCGCGCATATTTAATGAGGCTGCTGCAATCTGATTGGCTGAATGTTTTACATGTCTGTCGGTTTCGCTTTCCGCGCGATATCTTGAGAAGGAATGATGGAATTTCGATGAAACATGCTTATGATACTTGGTACATAAGTCCCTTGCTCAAGTTCGATGTTCGCCAAATTCCGTGCATATTTAATGAGGCTGCTGCAATCTGATTGGCTGAATGTTTTACATGTCTGTCGGTTTCGCTTTCCACGTGATATCTTGAGAAGGAATGATGGGATTTCGATGAAACTTGCTTATGATACTTGATACATAAGTCCCTCGCTCAAGTTCGATGTTTGCCGAATTCCGCGCATATTTAATGAGGCTGCTGCAATCTGATTGGCTGAATGTTTTACAGAGAATATCTTCTGAAGGAATGATTTTGGATTTCTTTAAAACTTGCTTTGTGATACTTGGTACATAAGCCCCTCATTCGAGTTCAATGTTCACCCTGTCCGTCTGTCTGTCTGTCCGTTTCCCTGTCCGTCGATCCATATATCTGTCCATCTGTCCATTTTCATTGGATTTTGATGAAAGTTGCTTTCAGTACTTGACACCTGTCCATAAGTTGTCTGTCCGATTCACTTGTTGACCTAACACTCATTAAAACAACCAAAATTGCTATGTCTTCACATATGTACCTGCAGTTTTTGTTTTCAATTCTTGCCATGAAATTCATACCATTTTCAATTATTTACATACTGCTATTACCATTTTTCAATATTTCTTAATATTAAGAAACTCAATCATAAGGGGTAGGTATTATGCGGGGCCCTTCCTCTACATTGGTCTAGTATTAGAACAGTTGGCCCTTTAACACATTCAGGCTAGAGGAAGAATTATCTTGTGCATTTAAAGTCTTAATGGTTTCTCCATAATTGAAGAAACACAAGTTCTTCAGATTGTTTGACATCATTTTGATCACTAAGGAGGAAAAAATTATTGACTTTGAACACTGAGGAGGAAAAAATGATTGACCTTGAACATGGAGAAAATTAATGACCATGATCACTGAGGACATAAAAGTGACTGATCTTGGTCAAAATAAGTAGGAAAAAATGACTGACCTTGATCACTAAGGAAGAAAAAATTGTCTGACCTTGATCACTAAGGAAGAAAAAATTGACTGACCTTGATCACTAAGGAAGAAAAAATTGTCTGACCTTGATCACTAAGGAAGAAAAAATTGTCTGACCTTGATCACTAAGGGTGAGAAATTGATTGACCTTGATCACTCAGGTGAGAAAATGATTGACCTTGATCACTAAGGTGGGAAAATGATTTACCTTTGATCACTAAGGTGGGAAAATGATTGACCTTGATCACTAAGGTGGGAAAGTGATTGACCTTGATCACTAAGGTGGGAAAGGGATTGACCTTGATCACTAAGGAGAAAAAAAATTGACTTTGATCACTAAGGTGGGAAAATGATTGATCACTCAGGTGAGAAAATGATTGACCTTGATCACTAAGGTGGGAAATTGATTTATTGATCTTGGTCTTTGTGTCAAGAGAAATGATTGACCTTGAGCCACAGGGCTTGGGTAAGATTGACATCTAGTGAGTAAGGTTGGGAAATTTAATGACCTTTTAACTAAGGTAGGGAAACAGACAGACCTCTGGTTAATAAGATGGAAAAAACAAAATGACGTCTGACACAGAGATGGATAAAAAGATTGACCAGGTAAGGTAGGGAAAGGGTGGGTTATTTCTTACCTCTGATGTAGGGTCAGAGTTCATTTACCACTGAAAGGAAACTAGATTGTAATGTCACTGTGAAATTAATTACAATGATGAATAGGGGTCATTAATTAGATCAATATGCTTATCTAATAATAATCTTCATTATAATAGGCTCTCCTCTCAGCTGTTACTATGAAAAAAGACGAAATCTTACAAAGCCTATATAAGACTCTTGTGTGTTAGAACTCATTGATGTTAGACAAACCGGAAACAATCTGTAATATATTAAGATATTTTATAACTTTTTACATCAATGAAAAGACTTAAGGTCAGGAAAATGACTTAATTTCAATAAAGCAGTTTCACAATATAAGTAGGGGAATGATATTTATCAATATGCACTTGACCAGCCACTTAACTTTCCTCTTGTTGTCAGCGGTATTGGCCAGACAGCCACTTAAAGCTTTCTGCCTAAGTCAAGTACTGATTGGGATGGCTGTGAACTCTATGCAGATCTGATGTCCCACATATTGAAGTCATATGGGTTTTTCAGTCCATTGTTTACAGTTGAAATGAAGGCTTTGATCATGTTTTCCTGTCAATTCAGTTACATGTCTTATATATATCTTAATGTACAGATGTATTAATGTTCCTGATGTTAGAAGGACTACCTACATGTCTTAGGCTGACATATGGTCAGTTTCTTTTGAAATTTTGAACACTGATCAGAATTTAAAAAGAAAATTATTGAAGATATTTCCCTAAAGGTGTGTATCGTGTAATGTGAATTTATGAATTAGTCTAAATGGTTTTTTTTTAGTTCAGCATAGACCAATACCTTGAATTCAGCCTTGCGTATTTAATTTCTGTACTCATGTATAATATGATTGTTATTTCAGATTCTGACTGTTTTTTGGAACTTAAGCTGTCTCACAGATTACATGGATAAACGTAAATAGTCGGACGATTCTGGAGTAGTGTGATCGGAGATTAACAAATCCTTCCTAGCATTTGTGATTTTTTTGGAAGAGGATATTTACCTAGAGTTGGGAACAATACTAACGCCCTATCTGGGATTTTTCAGTTTCAGGTAAGTTCTATATCTGTCATTGTATGTAAGTCCACATCTTCAGTTTCAGGTAAGTTCTATATCTGTCATTGTATGTAAGTCCACGTCTTCAGTTTCAGGTAAGTTCTATATCTGTCATTGTATGTAAGTCCACGTCTTCAGTTTCAGGTAAGTTCTATATCTGTCATTGTATGTAAGTCCACGTCTTCAGTTTCAGGTAAGTTCTATATCTGTCATTGTATGTAAGTCCACGTCTTCAGTTTCAGGTAAGTTCTATATCTGTCATTGTATGTAAGTCCATGTCTTCAGATGCCATGTGAGCTAACTGAACCAATATTTGGCCTTTTGTCTTTCACAAACTCATTGCTATGCAGACCATGACAAATGTCCTGTAAGGAGTCCAACCATGTCTATTTCAGTATTATAGAATTACCAGTAAGTGATATTATAGTGTCAACCTGAGGTCCTGTTTGAAAGCTCTTGGTCGAGATTCAGTTGGTTGAGAAATAAAATGGAGAAAGTGATACAAACAGAGGTATTACATAAAGGAAATCTCTGGTGCTCTGAGCTCAGTGATGGTTTGTATTTACAGGGAAATCTCTGGTCCTCTGAGCTCAGTGATGGTTTGTATTTACAGGGAAATCTCTGGTGCTCTGAGCTCAGTGATGGTTTGTATTTACAGGGAAATCTCTGGTCCTCTGAGCTCAGTGATGGTTTGTATTTACAGGGAAATCTCTGGTCCTCTGAGCTCAGTGATGGTTTGTATTTACAGGGAAATCTCTGGTCCTCTGAGCTCAGTGATGGTGTATATTTACAGGGAAATCTCTGGTCCTCTGAGCTCAGTGATGGTTTGTATTTACAGGGAAATCTCTGGTCCTCTGAGCTCAGTGATGGTGTATATTTACAGGGAAATCTCTGGTCCTCTGAGCTCAGTGATGGTTTGTATTTACAGGGAAATCTCTGGTCCTCTGAGCTCAGTGATGGTTTGTATTTACAGGGAAATCTCTGGTGCTCTGAGCTCAGTGATGGTTTGTATTTACAGGGAAATCTCTGGTCCTCTGAGCTCAGTGATGTTTGTATTTACAGGGAAATCTCTGGTCCTCTGAGCTCAGTGATGGTGTATATTTACAGGGAAATCTCTGGTCCTCTGAGCTCAGTGATGGTGTATATTTACAGGGAAATCTCTGGTCCTCTGAGCTCAGTGATGGTGTATATTTACAGGGAAATCTCTGGTCCTCTGAGCTCAGTGATGGTTTGTATTTACAGGGAAATCTCTGGTCCTCTGAGCTCAGTGATGGTGTATATTTACAGGGAAATCTCTGGTCCTCTGAGCTCAGTGATGGTTTGTATTTACAGGGAAATCTCTGGTCCTCTGAGCTCAGTGATGGTGTATATTTACAGGGAAATCTCTGGTCCTCTGAGCTCAGTGATGGTTTGTATTTACAGGGAAATCTCTGGTCCTCTGAGCTCAGTGATGGTTTGTATTTACAGAGAAATCTCTGGTCCTCTGAGCTCAGTGATGGTGTATATTTACAGGGAAATCTCTGGCCCCACTTGTATAAAATATCTCAATTTCAGATTTCCTCAAGCCCAGATTTTCTTCAGCTAATATCTCCTTGAAAATATCTTGTATGAAAATTCCTCAAGGAATTTCAGGACATCCTAGCCGATGACTTCCTCCTGTTCCTTGAGAAAATTTTATACAAGCCGTTTTTGAGGAGATATCAGCTGAGGGAAATCTCGACTTGAGGAAATCTCAAGTTGAGATGTTTTATACAAATGGGGCCAGGTCCTCTGAGCTCAGTGATGGTTTGTAATTACAGAGAAATCTCTGGTCCTCTGAGCTCAGTGATGGTTTGTATTTACAGGGAAATCTCTGGTCCTCTGAGCTCAGTGATGGTGTATATTTACAGGGAAATCTCTGAGCTCAGTGATGGTGTATATTTACAGGGAAATCTCTGGTCCTCTGAGCTCAGTGATGGTTTGTATTTACAGGGAAATCTCTGGTCCTCTGAGCTCAGTGATGGTTTATTTACAGGGAAATCTCTGGTCCTCTGAGCTCAGTGATGGTGTATTTACAGGGAAATCTCTGGTCCTCTGAGCTCAGTGATGGTGTTTATTTACAGTGAAATCTCTGGTCCTCTGAGCTCAGTGATGGTTTGTATTTACAGGGAAATCTCTGGTCCTCTGAGCTCAGTGATGGTTTGTATTTACAGGGAAATCTCTGGTCCTCTGAGCTCAGTGATGGTTTGTATTTACAGGGAAATCTGAGCTCAGTGATTTACAGGGAAATCTCTGGTCCTCTGAGCTCTCAGGGAAATCTCTGGTCCTCTGAGTCCTCTGAGCTCAGTGATGGTTTGTATTTACAGGGAAATCTCTGGTCCTCTGAGCTCAGTGATGGTTTGTATTTACAGGGAAATCTCTGGTGCTCTGAGCTCAGTGATGGTTTGTATTTACAGGGAAATCTCTGGTCCTCTGAGCTCAGTGATGGTTTGTATTTACAGGGAAATCTCTGGTGCTCTGAGCTCAGTGATGGTTTGTATTAACAGGGAAATCTTTGGTCCTCTGAGCTCAGTGATGGTTTGTATTTACAGGGAAATCTCTGGTGCTCTGAGCTCAGTGATGGTTTGTATTTACAGGGAAATCTTTGGTCCTCTGAGCTCAGTGATGGTTTGTATTTACAGGGAAATCTTTGGTCCTCTGAGCTCAGTGATGGTGTATATTTACAGGGAAATCTCTGGTCCTCTGAGCTCAGTGATGGTGTATATTTACAGGGAAATCTCTGGTCCTCTGAGCTCAGTGATGGTGTATATTTACAGGGAAATCTCTGGTCCTCTGAGCTCAGTGATGGTTTGTATTTACAGGGAAATCTCTGGTCCTCTGAGCTCAGTGATGGTGTGTATTTACAGGGAAATCTCTGGTCCTCTGAGCTCAGTGATGGTTATTTACATCTCTGTTTTGGTTTGTACAGGGAAATCTCTGGTCCTCTGAGCTCAGTGATGGTTTGTATTTACAGGGAAATCTCTGGTCCTCTGAGCTCAGTGATGGTTTGTATTTACAGGGAAATCTCTGGTACTCTGAGCTCAGTGATGGTGTATATTTACAGGGAAATCTCTGGTCCTCTGAGCTCAGTGATGGTGTATATTTACAGGGAAATCTCTGGTCCTCTGAGCTCAGTGATGGTTTATATTTACAGGGAAATCTCTGGTCCTCTGAGCTCAGTGATGGTGTATATTTACAGGGAAATCTCTGGTCCTCTGAGCTCAGTGATGGTTTGTATTTACAGGGAAATCTCTGGTCCTCTGAGCTCAGTGATGGTTTGTATTTACAGGGAAATCTCTGGTGCTCTGAGCTCAGTGATGGTTTGTATTTACAGGGAAATCTCTGGTCCTCTGAGCTCAGTGATGGTTTGTATTTACAGGGAAATCTCTGGTCCTCTGAGCTCAGTGATGGTTTGTATTTACAGGGAAATCTCTGGTCCTCTGAGCTCAGTGATGGTTTGTATTTACAGAGAAATCTCTGGTCCTCTGAGCTCAGTGATGGTGTATATTTACAGGGAAATCTCTGGTCCTCTGAGCTCAGTGATGGTTTGTATTTACAGGGAAATCTCTGGTCCTCTGAGCTCAGTGATGGTGTATATTTACAGGGAAATCTCTGGTCCTCTGAGCTCAGTGATGGTGTATATTTACAGGGAAATCTCTGGTCCTCTGAGCTCAGTGATGGTGTATATTTACAGGGAAATCTCTGGTCCTCTGAGCTCAGTGATGGTTTGTATTTACAGGGAAATCTCTGGTCCTCTGAGCTCAGTGATGGTGTATATTTACAGGGAAATCTCTGGTCCTCTGAGCTCAGTGATGGTGTATATTTACAGGGAAATCTCTGGTCCTCTGAGCTCAGTGATGGTGTATATTTACAGGGGAATCTCTGGTCCTCTGAGCTCAGTGATGGTTTGTATTTACAGGGAAATCTCTGGTCTTCTGAGCTCAGTGATGGTGTATATTTACAGGGAAATCTCTGGTCCTCTGAGCTCAGTGATGGTGTATATTTACAGGGAAATCTCTGGTCCTCTGAGCTCAGTGATGGTGTATATTTACAGGGGAATCTCTGGTCCTCTGAGCTCAGTGATGGTTTGTATTTACAGGGAAATCTCTGGTCCTCTGAGCTCAGTGATGGTGTATATTTACAGGGAAATCTCTGGTCCTCTGAGCTCAGTGATGGTGTATATTTACAGGGAAATCTCTGGTGCTCTGAGCTCAGTGATGGTTTGTATTTACAGGGAAATCTCTGGTCCTCTGAGCTCAGTGATGGTTTGTATTTACAGGGAAATCTCTGGTCCTCTGAGCTCAGTGATGGTTTGTATTCTCAGGGAAATCTCTGGTCCTCTGAGCTCAGTGATATATTCAAAGGGTAAACTGAGGCTGTTGCAGAACTTTGCGAAATTTGATGGATTGTCCGCTAGATAATATAATGGTTTATAAAATTCAGTTTAAGTTGTATATGTCTGAGAATTGGTATTTAAGGGTAATCTCTGCTTCACCGAGTCCTATGATACAACAATCTTCTTTTAGGACTTTTTAAAGAACATTAGTGTTTATATTTTGACACTCCATCAAATGTTGATGTAGCAAATCCATGAGGAATGATTTATTGCAGAATATAAATGTTTAACAAATGATGGATAATTTTCCACACTTGAGTTTTGAAATTTGTTGCTTCTGAAATGTAGGGTTTTTTTTGCCTTATCTGCTCACTATAAACGATTTATCTCGGTGTTAGATGGTATCCTCTCAACTCCCACTGTGGTAGAAAGCATAAAATGATGCTCCACCACACATAGCTTTTGAATTGCTGATAGTGGAAGATAAGACTGCCCTCCTGTCAGATAGATATAAGCAATAGAGTAAATTGTTTTACTAGTATTGTAGGTATACCCCAGTAAACTACTACACTGGTAGTGTAGGTATACCCCAGTAAACTACTACACTAGGTATACCCCAGTAAACTACTACACTAGGTATACC